GTTCTTACCACCTCGTTATGTGGCTTTTCCCGCGTACGAAGTTTTCTTTATAAAAAATAAAAATAAAAATAAATAAATAAAGGCAGCTCTTTGAATGGATTGGTTGTTCAAGCATTGGTTTATGAGGGGGGGGTATCGATCATGTCCAGCCCCCTTCCTTTTTTTTTTTTCTTTTTCTTTTTCCCCCTTTTCTCTTGTGCCCTTTCTTGAAGTCACAGAGCAGCTGAAGCTGGTCTGGCTGCTTAGCGCGCTTTCTGCCGCAGGCGGCACCTGTTTTGTCTGCAAGGCGACTTGGTTAACAGAAGCTAGCAACGGCCGCCTTTTATATGTCTGCGTGTATTGCTTGTGCACTGGTGGCCTAATTTTCAAAAAAAGTACATCTGCCTTTTGGCTAAGATCAAGTGTAGTATCTTTTCTGATCAGTTATTAAAAAAAAAAAAAAAAAAGGTGTTTTTTGCTTTGCCTGTTTTGTCTGCACCTTGGCAAAGCTGTTGTAATGCCGCTGACTCGCATCCTTATAGCTGCTGCCTTTTTTTTTTTTGAGGGCGACAACCTTGAGATATCAACATCCAAACTGACCGGTCCTGGGTAATTCCGAATCGCAGTATTGAGATATCATCGTCGACCAGCTCCAGATAATTCAGAATTGCAGTATTTTATAATTTTACTCGTCTGCTTCCAGTGGAGTTTGAACTCAGCACCTGGTCCGTATTTCATAAACTGTTCAGGGGGGGTGTACCAACTGAGCTAGGCCTGGTGGTCCATATGCGTTATTCTGAAATCAGGAGATCTGGTATATCTCTTGGCTTGCTATGACAGATGCGCTGTGGATCGTCGACTTCCCACTCTAATCACTCACTCTGCTGTCCCAGCAGGGTCTTCTTAGGTGCTCAATTTCATCTTACAGACTTGTACATAAATTGACATAATTGCGTGTGTTGCTATGGTCTTCCCCTGAGTAGAATGTATGGCCTGTATCGGTACAAATTTCAGTCTAGGTACAGTGATAATGACCGTGCGTTCTAGACGGTAGTGTGATCTCTGCCTTTGGCCAAATCTGATGTGTAATTGTCAACTTCATTACTTGTGAGAAGAGGTTGAAAAAAAAAAAGAAAAAAAAAAGAAAAAAAAAAGAGAGGTTGTGACCATGGTAACCGCGGACCCGGACACCGGACACTTCCGGACTGTTTCCCGGATGTGTGTCTGGACCAGTCCGGACTGTCCGGAACACCGGATGTCGCCGGATACCGGACTGTCCAGACTGTGTTGGCAGGGACAAGATGTCCGGGAAAAAACAAAGAAAAAAAAAGGTGGGGAGGGAGCTCCCCAACCTCCCCCTACCTCTGCCTGTCCCCCCTCCCTCCGCCGGCTCCCCCTACCTCTGCCTGTCCCCCTACCTCCCGAACCTTTCCCTACCTCCCGAACCTCCGGCTACCTCCGCCTGTCCCCCCCCACC